ACTCCGTCTCAAAAAAAAAAAAAAAAGGGATCCAAACTGGAAAAAAGAAAATCGAATTATCTCTGTTCACTGATTGCAGAAAACCATAAAGACTCCTCCAAAAGACTCATAGACCTGAAAATGACTTCAGCAAAGCTTCAGGATACAAAATCAGCATATAAAAATCAGTAGCATTTCTATATATCAATAATGTTCAATCTGAGAACCAAATCAAACTCAATCCCATTTACAATAGCCAGGAAAAAATCAAATACCTAGAAATACATGTATCCAAGGAGGTGAAACATCTCTACAAGGAGAACTACAAAACACTGGTGAAAGAAATTGTAGATGACATAAACAAATAAAAAAAATCTCTAATCATGGATTGGAAGAATCAATATAGTGAAAATGGCCATGTTACCCAAAGTAATCTATAGAGTCTGAGAAATAGGAGTTTAAAAACAATTCTAAGGCTCATATGGAACAAAAAAAAGCCTGAACAGCCAAAGCAGTCCTAAGGAAAAAGAACAAATTCAGAGGCATTACATTACCTGACTTAAAATTACATCACAAGTCTATAGTAACTAAAGCAGCATGGTACTGGTACAAAAATAGACAATTAGATCAGTGAAGCAGAATAAGAGAACCTAGAAACAAAGCTAGATAGCTACAACCAAGTGACCTTCGATAAAGTTGGTAAAAATAAATAATGGGGGCCAGGTGCAGTGGCTCACACTTGTAATCCCAGCGCTTTGGGAGGCTGATGTGAACAGATCACGATATCAGGAGTTGGAGACCAGTCTGACCAACAGGGTGAAACTCTGTCTCTACTTAAAATACAAAAATTAGCCGAATGTGGTGGTGTGCGCCTGCAATCCCAGCTACTCCATAGGCTGAGGCAGGAGAGTCGCTTGAACCCCGGCGTTGGAGGTTACAGTGAGCTGAGATAGCGCCACTGCACTCCAGACTGCGCGACAGAGCAAGCCCCTGTCTCAAATAAATAAATAAATAATGGGAAAGGACACCCTGTTTAATAAACTGTGCTGGGAAAATTGGATTGCCATATGCAGAAGACTGAAACTGGACCCCTATGTCTCAGCATATTAAAAATTAACTCAAGATAGATTAAAGATATAAATCAAAGACCTAAAACCATAAAAAGCCTAGAAGAAAACCTAGGAAAACGTCTTCAGGACATCAGCCTAGGTAAATAATTTATGAAAATTATGAAATTTATGAGAAAGACTCCAAAAACAAATACAACTGCATAGTAAAAGAAATAACATACAGAATGAGAGAAAATATGTGCGAATTATTCTTCCAATAAAAGATTAATATGCAGAATCGACAAGAAATTCAATAAGTAAAAAAAAAAAACCACCCCATTAAAAGCTGGGCAAAAGACATGAACGAATATTCCTCAAAAGAATCAATAGCAGCCAAAAAACACATGAAAAAAATGCTCAACATCACTAATCATCAGAGAAATGCAAATTAAAACACCAGTCAGAATGGCCATTATTAAAAAGTCAAAAAACCAACAGATGTTGGCATGGATGTGGAGAAGAGGGAATACTTAGACACCATTGGTGGGAATGTAAATTAGTTCTTAGTATGGAGAAATCTCAAAGCACTAAACATAGAACTACCATTCGACGCAGCAACCCCACCACTGGACAGCTACCCAAAGGAAAGGAAATCATTATATAAAAAAAGACACGGCCGGGTGGGCTGTAATCCAAGCACTTCGGAGGCCAAGGCGGGCGGATCACCTGAGGTCGGGAGTTCAAGACCAGACTGACCAATATGGTGAAACCCGGGCTGAAACAAAAACAAAAACAAAAACCAAAAAAAAAAAAAAAAGACACCAGCGAGGTTCTCACTAGACGCCGAGGGTGGGGTCATGGCGCCCCGAACCCTCCTCCTGCTGCTCTCGGGGTCCCTGGCCCTGGCCCAGACCCGGGCGGGCTCCCACCCGGTATTTCCAGAGCGGCGTGTCCGGCCCGGCCGCGGGGAGCCCCTCTTCATCGAAGTCGGCCACGGGGACCACACGCAGTTCGTGCGGATTGCGAGGACGGAGCCGCGGGCGCGGTGCGTGGAGCAGGAGGGGCCGGAGGACCGGGACCGCCACGCGCGGAACTCCAAGGCCTCCGCACAGACTCAGCGGGCGAGCTGCAGAACCAGAGCGGGGCAGGGTCTCACACCTGCCAGAGGGTGTGCAGCTGCCACCCGGGGCCACACGGGCGCCTCCTCCGCGGTGTAACCCGTTCGCCTACGACGGCCACGGTTACCTCGCCCTGGACGAGGACCTGCGCTCCTGGACCGCCGCGGACATCGCCCAGCGCAAGCGGGAGGCGGCCAATGAGGCGGAGAAAGGAGAGGCTACCTGGAGGGCAGGTGCGTGGAGTGGCTCCGCAGGTACCTGGACGACGGGAAGGAGACGCGGCAGCGCGCGGAGCCCCCCAAGACACAAGTGACCCACCACCCCATCTCTGACCACGAGGCCACCCTGAGGCGCTGGGCCCTTGGCTTCTACCCTGCGGAGATCACACTGACCTGGCAGCGGGATGGGGAGGACCGGACCCAGGACATGGAGCTCGTGGAGACCCGGCCGGCAGGGGACAGAACCTTCCAGAAGTGGGCTGCTGTGGTGGTGCCTTAGGGAGAGGAGCAGAGATCCACGTGCCTATAGTACATCATCACAAGTCTATAGTAACTCTCTAAGTGTGAACTCTAGGACACGGGGTGAAGTGAAGAAAGCAAGGCGCAGAAATTGTACACGGTATGCCATCTTTTGTACTAGGGAAATTTTCGTTGGTTCACATATATTTTAAGTAGCAAACACTGCTCTGAGTGCAGAAAATGAGGGGCTGCCAGAGACCCTCACCCTGAGATGGGAGCCGTCTTCCCAGCCCACCATCCTCATCCTGGGCATCGCTGCTGGCCTGGTTGTCCTTGGAGCTGTAGTCTCTGGAGCTGTGGTCGCTGCTCTGATGTGGAGGAATAAGAGTTCAGATAAGAAGGGAGTAAGCTACTCTCAGGCTGCAGGCAGTGACAGAGCCCAGGGCTCTGATGTGTCTCTCACGGCTTGTAAAGTGTGAGACAGCTGCCTTGTGTGGGACTGAGAGGCAAGATTGGTCTAACACCTTCCGCTCGTGACTTCAAGAACCCTGACTTCTCTTACTGCAAAGGCATCTGAATGTGTCTGTATCCCTACAGGCCTAGTGTGAGGAGGTGGGGAGACAGCCCAGCCCCTTGTCCACCATGACCCCTTCCCCACGCTGACCTGCATTCCTTCCCCGGTCACCTTTCCTGTTCTAGAGACGTGGGGCTGAGATGTCTCCATCTCTGTCTCAACTTTATGGTGTACCGAGCTATAACTTCTTATTTTCCTATTAACATTAGAATCTGAATATAATTTACTTTTTCAAAATATTTCTATGAGACATTTATGGGTTAATTAAAAGAGAAAATTCCTGAAATTTGAGAGAAAAAATAAATGGAAGATCTGAGAACCTTCAAAAAAAAAAAAAAAAAAAAAAAAAAAAAAAAAACCAAAAAAAAAAAAAAAAAAAAAAAAAAAAAAAAAGACACCAGCACACATATGTTTATCACAGCAGTATTCACAATAGCAAAGTCATAAAGCCAACCTAAGTGTCCATGAGTGGCTGACTGGATAAAGATATTGTGGTCTATATACACCATGGAATACTATGCAGTTATAGAAAAGAATGAACTCATGTCTTTTGCGACAACATGGGTGGAACTGGAGGCCATTATCCTAAGTGAACAAACTCAGAAACAGAAAATCACACATCACATGTTCTTTCTTACAAGTGGGAGCTGGACAGTGGGTACACATGGGCATAAAGGCAGAAATAAGGACACCGGAGACCCCCAGGTGGGGAGGTAGAGATTGAAAAATTGCCTCTTGATTATAATGTTCAATATTTGGGTGATGAGTACACTAGAGGCCCCATCCTTACCATTAGCTGTATACCCATCGAACAAACATACACATGTACCTCGAGTTTAAAATTAACCCAAAAAATAGGCCGGGCGCGGTGGCTCACACCTGTAATCTCAGCACTTTGGGAGGCTGAGGAGGGCTGATCACAAGGTTAGGAGTTTGAGACCATCCTGGCCAACATGGTGAAACCCCATCTCCACTAAAACTACAAAAATTAACTGGGTGTGGTGGCACTTGCCTGTAATACCAGCTACTC